CTAAACAATAACAAAGATAGTAATACAAAAATTATTCTAGAATGGACAACATTTCAAGGGTAAATGCTAGTGAAAATTGGGCAAGGGGTAGTGATGATCTTGGGCGAAGATCAAGTATAACAATATATAAAGTTTTCTATAAAGAACAGTTATTTTCTTTTCTACTTATCACAGGTATAGAAAATTGTTACAGGCCTAGATAATCTGTAATTTACCATAATTCTAGAAATGTAAAGAATATTAAATACTAGATAATTAAATGAAAAATCGATTTTTACTAGCAATATTTTAATTAGAGTGGTAGATATTTAGCTATTTGAACAAGTTATCTAAATGAAGTTTAAGATGAAACACATTCTACTTGTTGTATATCAAGCTATATTTAAAAAGCAAGTATATTAATCTTAGTTATAACTTGAAGACTAACCTGTATATAATAATTACAGCATCTTTATTTGATTAGATAATCAAAATTCTTTAAATTACTAAATGCTATTCTAGATATAATATAGGTTTTAAACTTCATTTTCTATATTTTTGAATAATACTAAGGAGCTTAAGTGGATATTTTATATCTCTAAGTCTTGTATTAAACTTTTCTAATAAAGAGAGCTATATATCATGCTATAGTTTATAAATCTTATAATTGCAAATTTAAAATTATAATAAAAATAATATGTGAAGAATGCCTATTTTTTCAAAAATAATTAAAAGAACTTAATATAAGTATTTTGATAAAAATTTTTAAAATTTAATTGAAATATTTATTTTTAATATTTATTTTTTAAAAAATACTTATTTTATTACTTAAACTAATCTATTAACTAATAAATTTATTTTTTGTTTCAAATTATTCTATATTTATATAGTGTTTTTTATTATTACAAATATATTGCATAAGGCTTTATTAAAAATTATGTTACTTTGAGAAAAAAAATTTCTAGTTTGATAAGTAAATAGTTAAATAAAGTAAAATCAATTTTATAAAGTTATTATTCTCAATCCGATAATAAATTGATGCTATTTAAATTAAATATAGATAAGTATAAAACATGAGGCATAATTTGTAGAATATATAAGGCAAATTATATAATTGGAAATAACAGATTCATTGTAAAATACAGTGCTTTAAATTTAAGCTTTTATATGCTTACTTTTATAATTATCTTAAAAGAAATATAGTATATTTATGAATAAGAATAATTCTCTTAAAAAATATCTATATTTATTTGTTAAAAATATTAATATCTTTGCAATTAATTAATAGATATATAGATGAGAAAGAATGTTTGATAGTGAATAAACATATAAAGGAAAAGAATACAGTATTCGGTTAATAAAATATACTGTATATTATAAATAGTAGTTTATGATTTATGATTTACATACACTAGACAATTTCATGTAAAATTTTTAAATTTAAAGTTAAATTTTAAAAACAACGTCATTCATGAACTGATGGTATAACCACAGTAGTTCGGTGCTCAACCCCACAATTTAAAATCATTAAACATCCCTATACTGTATACTATAAATTTTGTCAATATCTAATTTAATCTGCTTAAAATTTTAGTATTCTTTTTGGAAGACGGTGTAAATATGCTTTTGCTATTTCTGACATTAAATGATTTTTTATTTTAATAATTATATTTCTTAACAATTACTGTAAACATGCTTATGGTAAATATAATTACAATTAATACCTATACAGCAATCTTATAAGTTAAATGGAGTGTATAAAAGAAAAAATCGATCAATTAGCAAAAAAAAAAAATTGTCAGTTTTTTCTGTCGGTACCGTACAAAAAGACTGGTGAAACTAAACCTCCGTAGCGCCGTTAGAAGTCTGTAAATTTATTTCTTTACATTGTCATCAAATGACATTTTAATAATTTTCCTTTTAGAATTCTTTTTTCGACCATGGATTCTAATTTTAACAATTGAAATGGAATTACCTAATAATATCACTCCTATCTTTGTTGATATAAAGGCGAAACAATTTGCTTCTACATCTTGCTTTACATACAGATCGCTTTCTTTATCATGTTTAAGAATGCGTAATCGCAGTACCTTTCAGAAATACATTTTTATGCATAGATTACAGTAACGGCAGATTTCTATACTTCACTTGTCAATAAAGTTATTTATTGTTTGTTTGTTTTAAAGTCGAGCGTCCTTTTGAACATCTTTATAATTTGATTAAATATTTTTATAAAACTAATATTTCAAGTATAGTGTGATTTACTTTTTTCGTGCTATATGTACAAGGTACAGTTTTATATCCACTCAACTGCAGTGTTCGCTCTGTGATAGTATAAAATCCCGTGCCCATTCATCTTTTCTTATTATCTGCGACCACTAATAACACGAAAACAACTGCAACAACCCAAACAGGATTGATTAATTGACCCCAATTCCAAAATATCCAACCATTTTCATTGCATAATACATAATGTCCGAGATTCCATAGAACAAATATCCAATATAAATTACTGTGTGTAAAATAGAATAAAAGCAGGCTTTATGGTGATTATATTAATGAAGCAGAATATAATGGTCTTTGGATTTTTAAAAAATGGTTTGAGAAGTATTAGAAAAATATTTAAAATATAGAATAAAGAATTTCGGATATCAAAAGAAGTAGCATAAAATTTAATAAAATACCTAAAACAAAGAGAAAAGTATCTCGAATGTATGGTATGATATATTTTAAAAGTACAATAAATTTTAGTAAAACACTTAAAATAAAGGGTGAAGAATTTCGAATACATAATGTGGTATGTTTCAAAAGAAGTAGCATAAATTTTGGAAAAATATCTAAAAAAAATAATTGTAGAGAATCTCGAATATATAATATGGTATGTCTGGCGATACGTTTCGATATTGTGAACTGATCGGAAGCTGAAATATTATGAATCGAAAAGACCTCGTAATCCTTTACATGCATAGGATTTTCCAACTTCTTTTGAACATTTTCAAGTAGAGTGTATTCAATACTGTGATAATTCAGGGTAGGTCTTATTTCATTTTGGATGTCGTCAAATGTCAAAGATAAATCTTCACCGAATTTTAAACCTTTATCGGTTATAGATACTATAGGATAGGTCCCGGAATTTTCCAACTTACTGATCCTTCTAACTTCTACCGGGTTGCCGCGGATATTATCAAATGCAAAGATAAAACTCTTTCGTGTTCGAGGATCGGGTTTTTCGGAAGGTGTCCATGGAGTTGGATTATAACCTCCGATTATTAAATCTGTCCCTTCGAGTCGGACGAGTGTAATGGCCGGTCCTTTATATAGATATGCTTTGAGGAAATCAGATTTGCTGAAGCCATTTTGACTTCCTCGGATAAGAAGATTATAACGATATTGGATTGTCTTTTTTTCAGTGTTTACTTCTTTTTTTGATGCGAACCATTGCCAAGTGGATTTCTCGTTTTGATCTTTGATCCATTGCGAAATAAGACTCGTATGCTTGAAGGATATCAAATTGGACTCAATTTTCCCTACACGCCTCGGAAATCAAGAAATCTCGGTCTCTCATTTTTATTCACGTAATATCTTACAAGGTCCTGATATAGCTTCACTAAAAATGAAAATTTGTAATCACGATACAGTATAAATGTTAGTCATTATTTTTACATTCAACTAAAAACATCCTAACATTTTTTACCTGGCAAGATTTTTGCATATGGTATAACATGATTGGTGAATCCATTTCCGGAAATGTATTTCCATCTAATTAAATCAATAAAATTGTTCATCATTGACCTCACATCGTCACACTCTTTAAATGTCCAATGTTCAGGGTTTATTAAGAGATCCGGGAATTGAGAGACACACCATTTGACCACCTGATTCCAGATCTTAACTTCATCCACCAACAGATCATCCCTGGATACAATTAGAATTACATCGCTCAATGGTATGCTTATAAAATTATCCGACTGAAACATCAACTCAACATTGTTTCTGATGATGTCCTTGTAGAAATTTTTGAAAATTTTTAATGAAGGGTGGTGGAAAATTCGTGCATAAACCTTGTCAATGTTCTTGTATAACCATTCAGTTCTATCTTCTATGAAGATATACTGAAGATAGTTTACCAATTCATTGAGTTCTAATTTATCAGCGGTGAGAATGAAATCAACCACCAAACTCGGATCATCGCTTAGTAATGGTTCGTTAGTGGAAAGAAGAATATCTAGAAAGTCCTCCGCTTAAATATTATGTAGCGGCACCATTCCAGTGTAAATATATCTAAGATATTAAGGTGATTATGTTTAGTATAACGACGGACCATATGTCAAAAATGTGAATGTACACAGAATATTGCGCATATATTACCTCAACAATGGTTCAAAATTATCCAAATGACATGAAAAATAAATATTAAAATGCAGCTACAAAGAAGAAAAAGAGTAATATCTGCAGCTTGTGGAATTTCCGATTCGTGTAATTCAATAACACTTTTTCTAGAATTCATAGGTATGTTATCGATTTTTCTTCGAAAATAAGGAGATCTTGCGGTGAGTATCATTGAATGCACTTCGAATGTTTTCTGATCATTATATTTCCCAATGTGTATTTTTACGTCATATCCACCTCCTTCCGCTAGATATTCCCCGAAATTCTTTGATAATCTTTCAAAAAGATTTATTCTCATTTTTTTAGAATGTGTGAATTATTGGAGACAGCAAGAATTATTATTTATCAAAAAGGCTATTTTGCACGTTTGTGTATGTCTAATACTGCAGTGTATTTAAAGACTTTATTTGTTGTAAATATGTACATTTTTGAACTATTATTTGTAAAAAATTACCACCCATATTGTTTTTTTAGAATCAAAACTTATAATTTGGCAGACTCCTTTGGATACTATGATGTTGTGGCACGTGTAAAAGACTTCATGTGCCGACTCCGCTTATACAATCAGTCTTTATTTATTCGATCATTTAAAAAAATGCTTTAAGTCAGCCCGTATTGTTACACACAGTACTTGTTTATTCAAGTTCTGATGTAGCGTTGAGCTTTTGAGTGACCTTCACTCGGGGTGTTACTTTTACTGTAGTGACAATGTTCATGGCATTTAAAAACTTCTAAAATCGATAAATACTGTAATAGACTAGATCGAGATTATTACAACTGTAAAATTGTATATGGTATGGATAATTCTCGTTCAAAAAATTATTTCTTAATCACAAAATATACTTAATATTTTAAACAATAGCCAATAATTTATTATACATTAATACATTTCTTCGATATTTTCGATATTTATAATTTCTTATCCTATATATTGTATTAGTTACTGTATATAAACCAAACGATTGCATGTTCGATCCATCAATTAATTTTTTTGTATAGATAAATTTTTTTAAAAATGAATAATAAAATCCTAATTTACAAACATTTAAAAATATTGTAAATATATAACAATTTGTTTTTTTTTTTTTACTGTGAATGAGTATAAGATGTGGGACTTTATTTGAACAATAAATATACTGTCATTATATTAAATGTTCATTTAAGTTAATACTAACTTATCACATGTAAAACTTTTAATACAAATTATATCAAGTAGATAGCAGCACATCAAAAATGGTTCATGAATGAATTATGTTTGTCCATAAATAAGTTATTGTAGATAGTAATAAATTTGACATTGAATTACAGTACTTTGTCAAGACAAATACTCAAGGCCTTGATTATTTCTTCATTAAAAGACAATGATGATAAGTAAAAAAATAAAAATAAAATGCAATATATCATATTGTGAAGCGCTTGTCAATAATAAAAATGAATGAAAGCTAATATGACTATATTGAATAGTTTCTTTCGAAGAAGCATATCCTTTTGAAAAAACTTCCTAATCTTACTAATTATATTAATTTCCCTATTGCCAGGTTGGTCGATTTCAATTTTATAAAAAATTATTAGTTTTTTTAGAGAAACCTTAATTCTCCAAAGTACTATTTATTATAATTCTTGATATTTTATTTCTCTATTATGTTTCATATTATATTTCATATTAGTTTTTTGATATGATTAATGATATGATCATACATATAAATATAATAATTATCAATACCCGGAACTTAGAAAACAAAATATAATAATACTATTTTAATCACATATCTGCAGATGCAAAAAACCAGGGTTAAACAAATTTTAAATATAATTCTTTAATAAAATTATATAATAACTGTAGATGAATAGCAATTACAAAAATTGTTGATCTGAAATAACACATGGCATTTATATAATTTTGTTAATTAAATTCATATATAATTTTCAAACTATATATACAGTAGATTTAATTAATTATACTGTAAACAAGTATCTCTTATCAGTAATAAATAGTGTTTAATAAAATTGAGTAATAAATTTAAAAATTTAAATTTTTGTTAAAATTTACTATTTATATGTAATAATTATAAATTACTACATTTCTGCTTAATTTGTTCTTAAAAATATTTTTTAAGTATCAATATTTCTTTTAATAAATTTTAATTCTAATTGCAATGAGATCTGGCCTTCCTTGAGTTTCTGCAGTGTTTAGAGGAGGTGTCTAACCTGGCACATGACTGGCTGTAGTGGTGGCAAGGATACTGACTTCCTGAAACCTTATTGTGAATCAGAAAGCTTGGTTTTTATCTTTCTCTTTTGCAAGAAGATAATTTAGGTTGATCACTTGTTATCTATAAATTGATAGAGTTAGTGTTGTTGATAGTTTAAATCTGTTAATTTGATAAATATCAGATTTTATTTTGAATCCAAAAATAATACAAATATTGAACTATAGAGTATCAAATTTTATCTGATTAAATATAAATATATAATTTTTATTTACAATATTTTTGATATTTTTGACTAATTTATTTTATTTTAATAAAAGATTTCAATATTAGTACTTTAATTAATTTGTATTATAATTTTTATATGACTCTGAATTTATTTGCATAATTACTCTATATATATTAGTTATTATATTAATAAAAAAATTAATAAATAAGATAAATTAAATTTTAATAAATATTAATTTATAATATAATTATTAGTTATAATATTGCCAAAAAGAAAAAAAAAAAACTCTTTTCTGTATATAACAGATTTCTTAAAAATTTTCTTTTTTTGAAATTTACAGAACAAAAGTCAAGGAAAGATAACAAGCTACAGTAGAAGCTCTAAAGCTTCCAACAACTTCCTCTCAGTAACAGAATGTACCCTGAGGTATAAAAGAAGGGCAGGAAAAGAACCTGGTTCAGTTAGAATACAACCATATTATCATATATCGTTTCTACCTCAGGAGAAAGATAAAGACGGAGAACTAGTAACAGGGAGGCACTTTAGATGGACAGGACCAATGTGATATGCTAAAGTTCCTAGAGGCGTACAAATTAGTACAATTCTGAGGTGTATGAGGTCAGGTGAAAGAGGCAATAGTGA